AACAATTTTTGGATTCAATTAAAATATATGTCTCCTACATATGACTTTTCATACAAATGTATTTTATTATCTCAATAGAATCATAGTACCTTAATAACTAGATACCGAATGCTTACTTAAAACAAACTCTTTATCTTTTTAACAAAATGTACTTTCATTACAAATAAATTAAATGAAATTAAACATGATAATACACTTGCTTTCCAATGCACCATATTTTCAAAATTCCTAACATATAGTATTCATCCATTTTGTACCATGTGTAGATAAATAGTCTTCTAGACAAAGCATGACAAGGGTAAAAAATAAGACAGACTGATTTTGGCATCTGGTAAGTCTTCCATTTTAGTCCCTTTGTTGGGTCAAGTCCATATTAGCTTCTGCACTTGAAATTTTAAGTTTAGAAAGTAATGTATTCTAAATATTGTCGGCACTGATTGTCCTGTAATATTGTGTGTTAAAGGTTGTTATGTTTGAACCTATCGTGAATGGTCAATGTATGGCCTTATGGATATTTGTATGAACTATGTGCTAGGGATAACATATCATGATGAATTTAAATGTTATTTATTAATATTTGGTTATGAAATCCATTGGCTATGTATTATTTGATTTTGATATCTAAGGCTTACTCGGGTTTAATGGGCTTACCTACTGGGTCGAGTGTCGGTCAAGACCCTTGAATTTGGGTCATGACAAACACATTGAAATATATGAATTGAACTAAGCATTATTGTTTAGAGTTTGGTGGAGAAGGTTAAGTTGTAATAGGTTATATTGATACAGATTTTCATTCAGATGTGAGTGATAGAAAATCAACATCTGAATTTGTTCTCACAATGGATAAAGGAGTAATAAGTTAGAGAAGTTGCAAGCAAGATATTATTGCAGATTCCGCCATTAAAGTAAAGTATGTTGCTATTAGTAAAGCTACAAAGGAAGCTGTATGGATGAGAATTCATACAAGGGTGTGGAGTTGTTCATTATACAAATTCTCCCATTACTTTTTATTACGATAATAAAGGAGTAGTAGCATATACTGTGGAGCCAAGATCTATTCAAAAAACAAAACACATAAAGCACAAATTCTTTTTGATTCGTGATATTATGCATAAAAAGGGTGTTACAAATGCAAAGATTGCTTCAGCTGAAAGTGTAACAAATCCATAGATTGAGTTTTTGTCAAAAAAAAAAGGTGTTTGAGAAGCCCTTAGAATGAATTGTTTTGAAATATGTCTATGATTGGTTCTAAGTGCAAGTGAGAGATTGTTAGACATATGCCTTTAAAAATCAATTTTATTTTTTATTTATTAGATAATAAATCGCTACATTAATTATTGTTTTCACATATATTTCATTTTAATGGATATTTTGTTCATTTATGACATATGATATGATCATATATTATTTGGTGACATTGCAGAAACAAACACTATGTTAATAGTTGATGAACTATTAAGCGAGAAGTTATAGTTCTTTAGTTCCTTGTTTACCAAAATTGTTCTAGATTTAAAGCTTACACTTATTATGTCTCTATCAAAAGATTGAATGTTTTAACTCTGTCATTGTCATAGTGACTTTAAAGCAAACAAGCATGTAGTGCATAAGATACATGCATTGAACATGATCTAATTAAAAGGTACCATATAAGCTTGTCACTGTCAATAATTAAAAAGAGATCTATTACAATATATTAATTGTCCTTAGACTTGAAGGGTCAATATATGTTATTAAATTATTTATATCAATATAATGTTGCCAACAAGTGATGCTGAATTTAAAGGCTATACTTTGATATGTTGGTTAGGTACATGTAAATAAATTATATTGGATGTTCAATAAAGGATTCACCATTCTTTATTGATAAAGATATTCAAGTGATTTTCATAAGATTGTTGGACTCAAAAAATCTGATCAATGTGCTTTCTAAAAATGCTTTAGAATTATATTATTTATATTAATATTATATGTAAGTGTTTGTATAAGAAAAATATCTTTCAAAGTCTAACAAGAATGAAAGTCATGAATTGGTATTATATGAGATAGATGTAACAGTGAAAATTATTTACCTATAGAACCCATGAAGAATACAATATGGTGAAAAGACTGAATAGTAAAGATTGTAATGAAATGAACCTCTTTGATAATTCTTTTTAAAAGGTTAGTTGTAATGTGCTGATGAACATTATTAAAATTTATAAGTAAATAATGTTTCTTAATTAATTTAAGAAACTGAAATGATAACATTAGATTGAATGAAATTTCAAGAAAAATATTAACCATTAGATGGGATGAACTTGGACCAACAATTGGAGAGAAATTCTTAAAGATGCCATATTTTTTTGTTTTGAATTTTATATATAAGTCTTATCGAACAAAGAAAGATTATGAATCCATTAAAAGGAGAGACACTTGAATTGTGTGGTTAAACTATAAATACATTTAGATAACAATTATTATTATTGATTTGAAAATTAAAATTGTGCATATTAGAAACTATCAAGCAAATCGACAATCCCTCACAACTCTCTTCTTTTTTTTTTTTTTGTCCTCTTTCTCTTCAACTCCCTCTGCTTTTCATTTTCAACAAGACAATAAAATTTGTTTATAAATCAGAAAAGTACATCGGTCGGGCGCCCATCCATCTTCAATAATAGTAGTAGAGCTCAAAGAGAGAACGGGAAATGGTAACGGAATTGGCCCAACATGCATCTGAATTAGGAAAGGTGAGGCTAAGGGTAAAATCTTAAAATCTCGTGTAAAACATTTTAAAAAGATATTTTGATTTTTTTATTTTAATATAATATTTTTGATCTTTTAATTATTAACATCGATGGTCAATATTTTAAAAAAAATTATATCCAATCCTACATAAATATTTTAATATATAAATATTTAATAAAATTTACTTTAATATTTAATAAAATTTAATATTTGACAATAAAAAAAACCTAAAATTTAATAAACTTTTAAAACGAGATTTGTGAATGTGTTACCTTGTCTTACTTTGATGCTTAATAAAATTCAATATTTGATAAAAAAAAACTTAAAAACTTTTTTTTTTTTTTTTGAAAAACAACTTTGATTTCATAATGAAAAAATTATAAAGAGCTACCAACCATGGTAGAAACAAGAACCCAAAAAATCCAAATCCGATCAACAAATAGAAACTCAAGATTAGTTCCCATGTTGTAAGAAGATTAAGATGTCTTCCCATCAAATCTCAAGGCAACCACAAGAGCCTTTTCCCAACAACTATATAGCAGGCACTATATAAAAAGCAAAACTTAATCCTAACCAAATAAAAAACGCAATAGAGTTTAACTAGGAAATCCAAAACAAAAACATATCAGAGCTAAAGCCTCACAAATACAAAATGAAACTCAGTACATGATGAACCATCAAACCTTTAAACTTTTGATATATAGTAATGAAGTCAAAACCATTTTACATTATCTTAAACCCTAATTTCAAAAAACAAATTTTGAGCAAAAATTTTTCAAAAATATTACTAATCACAAGTAAAATATTATGCTCTTGATTCGACAGAATCAAATTTGAAATATCTATTATTGAACAAAAATTTAATTTTAATACATTTTTTTCAATGAAAAGAATTCTTAAACTGTCGAAAAAAAATAAAGAATTTAATGACAATGAACTTTACTTTAAAAAACCAGCTACTTCTGACTTCTGAAGCTCCTCCTCTTTTTTTTTAAAGAAAAAAAAAACTTTACTTTAAAAAAGAAGTTTATGGTTTTTAAGGTGGATACAACTTTAAATGTTTATGTCTTCAAATCAAAATTTTTTAGGTTTTTTTTTTCGATTAAGGTTTTTAAAAGAAGGATGAACAGATTTTTTTTTAAAAAAAAAGATGCTTTGTCTTAATATATATATATATATATATATAGGAATAGGCTTAATTTTTTAAATTATGGCTTACCAATATTGTTTGATTGGTCGGATATGAAAGAATTAAAAGTTGAGGCAAACTAATGAAATTATTTCTTTTTTCTTGTTTTTTGTTATCAAATATATTGGTGTCTTAAGGACCCACTTCCATTAGTTACGGAAGCTTTAGGATTGAAGTCCACAATCAAATTGTCTTGTTTTCTAAGGCTCCAACATGGCCGTCAAGATTGGGATGCTATTGCCCTTCACTAGCAATGATGCAACGATTACTAAATAGCGGACCAAAGACATGATAACGATGACTAGGGCATAGTGCGGGCCGCCACCGCGCAAGTCCAAGCTCCTGTCCTTTAAATTGGAATTCAACGTCAGCCAAAATCTTCCTACCTGGAATACATCGAAAGAAAGAAAGCTGGGAGTTAATACTCTTTTGGCATGTAGGTGGGGGTTACTACTTGTTACAGCAACGGGAAATGTTAGGTGTTGACTTTTCAAATCCTCAAATTGAAAAAAACACTAATTGGGCAGTGTGGAATGAAATTTCAACGCCACAACTTAAACTCACTCTCCTCCCGAGTTCACAAGAAATTGGGCACCCAATTATTAACGAGCAGATTTACGCTGCTTCCCTCTGTCTTTCACTTACGAAACACCATTCATCATCAGCAGCATTGAGTTACGACACGTGTAACAAATGAATGCATCCGATGGACGACAGGGGGCATAGGTATTGATTTATTAACCAACAAACTGAGACTGATATATCTATTAAATTAAATTAAAAAAAAGCAGAGCCTGGACCCCATAACTAGGCCGTCACCCAATCACCAGATGCTACGTTGTGAGACACGATAAGACATCTTACGAAAAGATGAGACATATGTGCTGCCGGAACATGCATGCCACTCCCTAGGAACCGTGTCATTGACGTTTTCTACTTGTCCTTTCTCCGCAAATACTGAGCTTTCCTAAAATAATTACTGTGTAAAATTTCTGTAGGCCAGAACAATAGGATATCGAGGACTCCGAACCATAAATCTTAACCTATCTAGTTAGGTTTTAACATAAACATCAACACAGTATTTGGAATTATTTTTTCTAAATTTGAAAATAAATGAAAGCACCACTTTCTCTGCTTATACTCCAAAGCAGGTCCGGGTATTGGTCCTGGTCCTGGTCCGCGTTTTCTCTCTATCTCGTTTCCTGTCCTGTTTCCTGCTCCTCTTCTATATAACAAAAGCAAGCTACATCTGAAACCTTTTATGTTTCTTTTGTTTCTAAATTTATTTTTCAACTAGTGAAAGGAAAATGAAAAGAGAAGAGATTGTGAAGAATCGGAATTTCCTCGCCGATAAGAGATGGTTTCTCCCTATCGCTGTCGCTGGCTTTATCGCTGGAGCGATACTAATCTCGAGCTTCATAAAAACTACCGATTATTCCCTCCTATGCTCTCTCGCCAACTACAGATCCCAAGCCGTGGCTGATTACTCCGCTACGCCGATCCAACTCCAAGCCATCATCCACTACGCTACGTCACGAATAATCCCGCAGCAAAACTTCGCCGAGATCTCCGTAACCTTTGACGTCCTCAAAAAAGTCTCTCCTTGCAACTTCCTGGTCTTCGGGCTCGGCTACGACTCCCTAATGTGGACTTCCCTTAATCCACGCGGCACCACCATATTCCTCGAGGAGGATCCCAAATGGGTGCAGACCGTGCTCAAAGACGCACCAAACCTCCACGCGCACGCCGTAAAGTACCGTACGCAGCTCCAGCAAGCAGACGATCTGCTCTCCCATTACCAGTCGGAACCGAGCTGTTCTCCATCGAAAGCTTACCTACGTGGCAACGAGAAGTGCAAGCTAGCCTTAACGGGGTTTCCGGATGAGTTTTACGAGACGCAGTGGGATCTGATAATGATCGATGCACCGCGGGGATATTTCGCGGAGGCACCAGGCAGGATGGCGGCGATTTTCTCGGCAGCCGTTATGGCGAGGAACAGGAAAGGATCCGGTGTGACGCACGTGTTCTTGCACGATGTTGATCGGAGAGTGGAGAAGGTTTTCGCCGAGGAGTTTCTGTGTAGAAAATACTTGGTGAAAAGTGTCGGTAGGCTTTGGCATTTCGTGATTCCATCCGCTGCTAACATGAGCAGCTATGACGTTGCACGATTTTGCTAAAATGCGCCGCTCCAGTTCATTGCTTTTGTTTTGGTTTTTTTTTTTAATTATTAATTTTAGAAAATTTATTTTCTGTTTACCTTCTATTTTAAAAGAATGAGCGTATGAGGGTGTATCGACCCAATGAAAATGATATAATATACCTTGAAATAATATTTTACTGCGGTAGGATTTTTTTTTCATTTTAATTCTACGGGGTATTTTGAAAATAAAATGGTGTGCTCTTTTTACTGAGATAGGTGGTGGAGGCTGATTGATGGCTTCTGTTACTGAAATAATATTGTAATGTTTGATACCCTAGTATTTCGCGCGATGAAGTGTTGTTGTCTTGTCTGTGCCCACTTTATTATTGCAGGCAATAAATGTCTCCCATATGTTAGTTTGAATTTTGAATTTTTAAAATCTTTTCTTCATCTTGGATTTCTGTTTCCTTCAACCTTTTTTTTTATTTAGTTTTGGTAGCTTTGCAGTGTGTTACATTGGCGTTGTCGTACGCCTATTAAATAAAGTTTTGTACATCAGTTTTTATTAAAAGTAATTAAACAAATATTTAAATTTAAATTATTAAATTGATAGGTTTTATTATATAAATCAATTATGTAAAATTTTTATTAAGTTGAAACGTTTAGATATTTTATTTATGGAGGAAATTTTGATTAAATTTTATTATTTAACAAATGTTGATTAAAATGGATATTCATTTAATATATTTTGAGAAGAAACCTCACTGGTATGATTTTTTTTTTTTTGAAATGCACTTATGTTTGATTTGCAATATACATAGAAATAGAATAAAATAATTATTTATAAAAATGAAATTAAATAATTATTACATAATTAAGTACAATAATAGAATAAAATAAAAATAATTATTATAATTTATTGCAGTATTTGATTATTAAGGTTAATTTTGAAATAAGAAAGAAATGAAAGATAAATAAATAAAAATAATTTTTATTATATATATAATTATTTATTTTTATTTTATTTTTTAAAATATTAATAATTTGTACTTTATTTAAAATATTAATAATTGGTAATTTAAATGTTAATATTTTGTTTACAATTTAATCATTAGTATTACATAATATTAATATTTTATTATAATTTAAATGTTATTTTGATTATTTATTTTTATTTTATATTATTTTTAAATCTTTATAACTTATAATTTATTTAAAATATTAGTAATTGATAATTAAATTTATTATAATTAATTATTTTTAAATAATTTATAATTTAATTATTATATTAATGATTGATCATTTAAATATAAATATTTTATTATAATTTAATCATTAATATTTAAAAATATTAATATTTTATTTCTAATTTAAATATTAATATGATTATTTATTTTTAAATATTAATAATTTATAATTTATTTAAAATATTAATAATTGATCATGAAAATATTAATGCTTTATTAACTTTTAATCACTAATATTTAAAAATATTAATATTTTATGTGTAAGTTAAATGCTATTATGATTATTAATTTTTAAATATTAATAATTTATAATTTATTTAGGTTTATTAATAATTAATCATTAAATATTAATATTTTATTTATAATTTAATCATTAATATTTGAGGATTGTAAATTTTTAAATTTAGAAAGGGTAATTTAATCATAATAATTTTTGAATCTATTCCGTTAGAGATGGAATAGCTAATAGCAAGGGGTAGGTGGGTGCAATTAAAGAAGACTTTTAACCAATTTTAAAGAATAGTTAAAACAAAGGAGTTGCTATTCCTTACTAAATTACCAACCAAACAAAGAAAGTAAATAGTGGTTGGGAATAGAGAGGAATAGCTTTAACTATTTCTCATACCGAATGTGCCCTTAGAAAACAAACAGCAAAGAAAGCATGTCATTAAAAGCAGAAATATTGGTTGGTATCCCTTTGACTATGGCATGCCTCCCCAATATTTGCTCCTAGAGATCCTTCATCAGTTATCCAAAAACCCAAAAAATCTACAGCTTTAGGACTCAAGATAACACTAAAACAAGAAAACCATCCCCTAAATTTGTACAATTCATTTTAGGGTTCTGAACAAAAATATGCCCCATAACTTGTAAAAAAAAATCAACTGGCAAAATCATAAACCAGAATCCAGCTAAACCATCACAAAAAAGTAAGCTGTACAGAGAGAATGGTTACATGTAAGCTGTACCCATTTTGTTGGGTGTTTGATAGCCTTTCTAAATGTGTACTGCCATTGTTGCTTTGCTTTTCGTCCGATACAAATTGCCATATCTCGGGACAATGTTGTTCTCTCTACGTGTATCTTTGTGGAAAGGGGGGATTGGATGAACCATTTGTCATGTCATGTTTCACTTTCTTAGCATGATATATATGTAGCTGAAAAAGAAATACTATTGTTCAACTGGTAAAATAAACTAATGAAGGACCCCTCCTATTATTACAAAATTGGAAATTACGAGATCATGACATGTACTTCAATAGATTTTTTTTAGCAGGGACCAAGGGAAAAGTTCCCGACAAACAAGGATTATAATCCCATGTGTCCAATTATTAATTCCCTTTCTTGACAACTTTCTTTAAGCATCATTTCCTTCATACTAATTAGAAACCATAATCTTTGATTAGACAACGCCATCTCCTATGCCGACGGTTCTTGTAGTACTTCAGAATTTGTCGCAACTAAATGATTGAGCATTTAAATGGTGGGTTTGAGTTAACAACTCCATTCTTAGAAATCCTCTTGACTTTTCCGCAAGCGTTGAAAATTCCTACTAAAACAAATCCAATGATATATCAAAGTCATCATTGTCTTATCAGATGGTGCGCTAGAATTGATCCAAGACGTGGCACGGGGAATTAAAGAAAGATAACATGATTTTTCAAGATACATATATGTGATCTACAGGGGATCTAGTGTCCGGATAAGGACAATGTCCCTTTTAGAAGAAAATAGTGCAAAGCCCTACATTTTTCTGTACAGGTGGTTGCTATCACAATACCAAAATTAATTTGAACATCTTCCCACTTTTACTCTCTTCCCTTAAGGAAAAAAAAATAAAACCAAATTTGTGAGAAAATTGGGTTATTCAAGCTGCGTGTGTTGGCAGACTGTTGGACGGTACGTGATGAGTTGCACCTTGCTATGCAATTGGGTATCACCTCACTGGGGTTGAAATTACATGCACTGGCTATTAAAACCTTGATTATAAATGACTCATCAAAAACAGATTCTTGAACCCAATTGTTGGTGATTGCAGGAACCTTCAGAAGAGGTTTGATAGACTCAAAGTTAGTCTTATCTTCAGGGAAGCTACTACCGCAACAGATGCACTGGCCGGAAGAGGTTCTGCTTCAGAATTTGACTTTAACTTGCACATCATGAGCCTGCCTTTTGTTTCTTTATTTGTAGCTGTGGTAGGGCTAGTACTGTACTCTATCGTGATGTGGGAACTTTGTAGCTGTGAGCTGTCTCTGTTTTGGTTGATGCACGTCCTTATTCAGCCAAAACAAAAGAAAAGAAAAGAAAATAAAATAATTCTCTCCGGATGGAAATCGGTGTACCCAAAAACATTTGCATTTATGGTTTGTCCAATAATCTTTGTCTGAGTAAAGAACAAGTGATTTGGCAGGTTTATATTTTGATTATAGTTATCAATATAGTATGATATAATATCAGTAGAAAACTATACATATTGATAATTATATTATATTTCATCAAATATTTAAAATGTATCGTAATATATATGCATATTTTACAATATACGATACAAGGGGTCTCGTATGATATAGTCAATATACTTTTTATAAGTTTAATTTTAATTATTTGTTTAGTTGAAATATAAAAAATTATTTTTTATTAACTTCAATTTTTTTAATTTAGATAAAAAATACTAAAAAAATCAAACTTGGCTTTTGACTTCATAAGCGTTTTTTAATTTTTAATTAATAAATTAATATGCAAAATATATATTTTATTTCAAAATATATATATATGTTATTAAGGAATATGTTGAGAGTTTAATTAAAAAATAATCATTTTTCCAATTTATGTCTTTATCTTCAATTTTATTTAAAAAATATAATATTTCAATTGTTTTATTTTAAATATATAAATGTTATTTATAATTAATTGTAAAATCTTTTACTGTATTTTATGATACTCAATGCTAAAAAATGAAATTTTGATACACAATACACGCATCTTGATTTAACAACTATGATTTTGACCCCTTAATACTCCCTCACAAATTAGACCATGCTTATATAGATAAGGAAAGGGAAAGGAAAAAAAACCCTAATATTTACAAAAGTTTGTAAATTATTAAAAAAATTTAAATAAGTCTTTATATTTTTATTATATTTAATCAAACTCTTATATTTTATTTTGAGTCAAATAAGTTTTTTTTTTATTTTGAACTAAACAAGCTCTTATATTTTAATTTTGAGTCAAATAATCTCTTTATACTTTTATTTTGAATCAAATAAATCTTTATAACAAATTATTGACTTAATCAAAATATCACTTCTCTTTCTATATCACGTGGTGTTGACTTAATACTAACGTAATAAGTCATATCATAATGGATGATAATGTTGCATGTTGAAATAACATGATGACATTGCCATATCGCACCTTTTAACTTTCCACATCAATGCTATATGAGTATAAAATGATAAAGAGATATTTTGATTAATGATAATTAATTAACCATTAATTAGAAACTCTTATTTGATCTAAAATAAAAGTTTAGGAGCTTAATAGAGCATAATAAAAAAATAAAGGCTTATTTGAATTTTCTTCAATAGTTCAAAGGATTTTTTGAGTATTATGTCAAAAATAAACAAATCAAAAGGGAAAAATATTGTTTATTTAGTTAGATATAAGAGTAAAGACTTTTTCTATCATGTTTAATGTAAGTTAAAGGAAAGCACAAGCTTTAAAATTATTAGGTATAATATTCAAAAATTCTTTAAATTATATATTTAAAAAATTTAAATAAATTTTTATTTTTCTATTATATTCGATCAAGTTCTTATAATCTTATTTTAAATCAAATAAGTCATTATGATTAATGGTTGACCAACTGTCATTAATTTAAATAAAACTTGTCATTTTATGTTATATGCGCATTGATATGACATGTTAACATGTAATAATTGATGAGAATATAGTTTGTTGATGTAATATGATGATATGGTCATATGATGATATGGTCATATGATATTTTTAACTTTCCATGTCAACCATATATCAGTGTTATTTAAGCATGCAATGACAAGTAATATTTTAACTAATTATAATTAGTTAAGCCCCGTTTGGTAATGCAAGTATTTGCTGCTTTTTTTTTAATTTTTGCTTTCAGAATTATGGAAACACTAACAAAAAAGGTGTTTAGTATCCCTGTTTTTGTTTTCTCCTTTTTGAAAACATTTTTGAAATTGTTGGGAAAAACACAAACACATAAAAAGTGTCTTACATTTTTTGTTTTTGTTTTCAAAACAAAAAACAAAATGCTGAACCACCTTATCCCTAATTAGACCAACACCAAACCACCTCTCTCTCTCTCTCTCTCTCTCTTCCAACAGCCACACCCTAAGTCCTATTTTATTTTTTCTATCTAATTCATTTACTTTTCCACCTCAGGTGAGTTTCTTTAGATCTAATTCACCTTAAGCAAATATCTTTTTCTTTTCTTTTCCTCTCTTTTCGTTTTTTAATTTATTTTATCTTTTGCATTTGATTTATTGTTTCTAGAGACTTTGGACGCCCTGGATAGAAAAATGCTTCTTGTTTTTTAATGCCATTTTTTTTAGAGTTATGATAGCTATGTTCACGTTTCCTTGTTAACTCTAAGCATTTAAGATAACGATGAAACTGAAACTTTTGCATAGCAAAAGTATTAGTTATAGGAGATCCTTGATAAAAATGTTTTTGAGACTTGAGAGAGATCGAAGTATTGTTAACAGTTTCAATATCAATCATATGGTCAAACTAGGCTAGGAAGCAACAATCTATGCCAAATAAGGGGATTTATATTGTTTGTTCATTTTTATTCTAGGTTGTATTTTGATAGTTAGCTTTAGACTAACTTTTACCTCTATTTTTTGGTTTTTCTTTTGGATAGATAAATATTATCTTGTTGATTCTAGATTCATGAATATGCTAGGGTTTTTAGCACCTATTCTTGAAGAGAGATATCACTTGAATGATTTTAATAGCAGTGGTTGGGAACCACAAGGAAAGGAAAAACTATTTAAATATCAACATTCATCCATGGGTAATGTCATAAAGCAATGCTTTGGAATGTTAAAAGCTCATTTTAAAATTTTAAAGAAAATGCTTTCATATCCAATGAAGACCCAAAAGTATCTTTCAACTGCATATTGTGAGTTCACAACTTTGTTTGGATGAATGGATGAAATGATCAATTTTTTTATCATTATGCTAATAAAGACATGATAATGGAGGACGAAAACCTTATTGGTGGTAGTAGTTCACAAAATCTTATTGACATTAATATATCTCATGGTTGACTTCACTAAATGGCTCGTGTAAGAGATGATATTGCGAACTAGATTTAAGCGAGTGTCCATGGCAGATAATTGGTTTAAATGTTAATTTTGAAACTCATTGTTCTAATTCTCACTTTTTTCTTTGAATTTTATGTCTTTGGTTGTATTCTTACCTCTTGGTGCAGGTTTTGAACTTGGTAAAACAATTATAGAAATGGTATTTTGCAGATTTATATGGCTTAATTGTTCTTTTATTTTGCAATATATTTTTAAGTTAGTATATAACAAAAACAAATATATGATATTACCAAACATGATTTCATGTTTTTATTTTTAAAAGTTTCTTGTAACAAGAATATTACCAATTGTGTTTTATTTTTGTTTTTTTAAGAAAAATACAAAAACAGTGTTTCTGTTTTTACTCAAAACAAAAACAGATTATGTTACCAAATGTCACCTTAACTAGTAGTCATAAAAGTTTATTTGATTCAAAATTAAAATATAAAAATTTGATTGAACGTAATAAAAAATAATAAAATTTATTTAATTTTTTTAAAAAATTTATGTCAAATTATTATATATATATATTTATATATTAGTCATTACCCATTTATAGCTAAGGGATCTTTTTATGAAAGGTGAATAAACATTGTGTTTTTTTTTTTTTGAAAGGTAAATTTATTGATAAGGTCACACAAGGGAGATATAAGCTTTACCGTTGTAGACAAACGAAGCCTCGCAAATGAGGATTGGCTAAGCATTAGAAGTGATCTGATGTGCCTACAAAAGAAAGAGTGACATTACAGTATTCAAGTGAATGCCATAACAACCCATAGCCTTAAGGAATAAAAGAACTCTGCTCATACATAAACCAGCATGCCTAAATGGAGCTATCAATATGAGGAGATAAGGAACCCCTATCAGGAAAAACAAAGAAAGTATTGAAATTATAAACTCTTAGAACACCAGCTTTGAACAGGCCATTTGTCACTGTATTGATTTCATGACTAATATGGTTGAGAGTGACCTTGCTTAGTCTTTTAGTGAGAGTTTCAATGGCGTAGGAGATAAGCTTCATACGTTAAGGGACCTTGTTGTGATAAGTACTCGATAAGATAGCGTTGGAAGAGTCACTCTCAACTTTTAGGTTGAAGGTTGGGGCCCATCAGAAGCAAGGAAGAATTTGAGTCCTTGGTGAATGGCTTGGAATTCGAAAAATTTTGAGTCTTCTATTCTTATGTTGTGAGAGAAAGTGTCTTTTATGACTCCCTGGTGGTCCCTTAGGACACCACCAACATCAACAGGCCCAGGTTTCCCCTTGGCAGCACCATCAATATACAGCTTGGGCGTACAATGAGGTGGTGGTGTCCAGGTGATATTAGCTTTCACCTTGTTCCTTTTTACACTGTCAGTGAAGCAGTCGGGTTGGGTAAGCACGTAATGGTAGAGATATGTCCCAACTACAATTAACTCTTACTGTGTCAAATGAAAATGATAAGAGGAATCTATGAAGAATAACATTTCTTGATAAAAGTATTTTAAAAATAATCATCAAAATAAATTTAATTATTTTTAATCATATTTAGTCACGACTTGATAAAAATATTCTTAAAACTATTTCAAATAAATTAAACTATTTATTATAATTTCTTTTCATTTGTGCTTCCAATTTCTCTCTCTCAACTTCCCACTCGCTCTAATTTTATCGATTTCTCTCTTTAGCATTCGTCTATTATGCTCCTGATTTCTTTCTCTCACGCTTTCAAATTTCTCTTTCCAGCACCTTGAAGATACCAAACGATAGTTTTAATGTGCTTGAGTGGATGCCTATTTGGAGAATTTGATTTTTAGGTATTTTGGATAAAACTAAATAGTAGAAATGATCGCAGATGTTTGAAATAGTTTTTAATTGGATCAATTTGGGATCTAGACATTAATAAACTCAAAATTTTAAAATTTATAAATCCAAGTTTTTAATGAATTTTTTTTCGATTTTTAGTCAAAATAGGTGTTTTAGATAAGAAAATTTGTGTTTTGATTTACAAAAATATGTTAGAAACACTTCAATTGATGCCAAATTGTCAAAAAAATAAAAAGAAATAAAAAGAGTTGAGAGGATTTGAAGTTTTGGTTTGTAAGTAACAACAACAGTTTTAGGCATTAAAATGTAACAAAATATTTTTGAATATGGTGTGTAACAATAATATTTTTTTAACATGGCGTATAATAACAGTAGTTTTTTTTCAACATGACATGTAACAATATTTTTTAACCAGCGTGTAACATATTTTTGTACACAACGTGTAACAACAGTATTTTTTTTAACATGACGTGTAACAACCTAATCATGGCGTGTAACAACTTTTTGTACATGATATGTAACAACTTAACCATGACATGTAACAACCTAACCATGACCTGTTACATATTTTTATACATGACGTATAACAATCTAATAATTACGTGTAATATATTTCTGTACATAATGTGTAACATCATGATATGTAATTTCATTAAAAATAATTTTATTTAATTTAATTAAAAATAATTAAAATTATAAAAAATTATTTTTTAAAAATATCTTATCTTTAAGAATTATTTTTTAAAATATTTCAAAATGATATAAGCAATATGATGAGAGTCGAAAAGTCTTGTTTTTGAAAATAATTTCATTGAGACATAGCCGTAAAGACCAAAGTGAGGTAAAGAACAACATCCTCGAACGGTCTCTTTGATGTGATGGTACAAGCGAAAGCATCCATGCCTTGAAGAAAGTTCCGACATTCCTTGGAGATACCCTACTGGCATTCCATTTCTTGCAACAAAGAGACCATATTTCCCAAGCCATATTACAGTTGAAGAAAAAGTGGAAAGGGGTTGCTAGATGGGTTTTGCATAACGTGCAGGAGGCCTCTTCGCTGTTAATGATTCCCCTCTTAAGCAAATTAGCTTTGATTGCCAATTTCCCACGTAAAACTTGCCAACAGAAGGTTTCAGTTTTTAAGGGTGCAAGACCAATCCAGAGGCTGTTCCAAGGTTCGTGTGTAGTGATGTGGGAGTCATGGTAGGCTTTGCACAAGGAAGTGGATGAGTATTGACCACTTGTGACTGTTCTCTAGTTGACTTTATCCTTATCGGGAGGGTGGGATTGAATATCATCAATAAAATTCAAAAAGATTTGTCCACTGACTTTGTTCTCAACTGAGCGGTTGTCTACGTAGCTTAATATCCCAGCACCATTTGTTGTTGGCGCAGTGCCCTAGGCTACCAATATTTGTCTCTTTATCAGCTGCAGGGGTCTAAATTTGGGGGAAAAAGGCTGCAAGGCTGGAGTTCCCAAGCCAAACATCATTCCAAAGACAATAGATGTATCGTTACCCGATGAATGCCCAAAACCAAAAGTGACAAGACAAGGTCATGATACTTGTAATCAAGTTGGAGAGGTTTTGTGATGCGACTCCAAATAATTGATGGGTTGGATATATTTATATATTTAAAATAAATAACATTTATATATTACCCATCCTGTGGCTACGGGCTAGCTCCCCCAATCCCCACCAACAAGATTTCGTGATCAACACTTATGGTTGAAACCCAATTACTATAGCTTGATCTCATTGAAATCGTTTTTTAATGCATAGTTAAATTAAGAATTTACATTGTGACCCTTCCCTTGGCCTAGTAGTACTTAATTACGTAAATAAATTTTATGGGTGAAAGAATATATTGAAAAAATATATATTTTATACATTATACTTTTGCATTACTACGTCAATATGAATTAAAATAAGCCTTGAAGAAAAGTGTGAACCTATGCTGAGCATGAGGATGTATCAAATGATGTTCTCCTCACAAGGAGGCAGATAATCTTGGATGGCTGGGCATGCGTGTTATCGAGCGTACATAACACAAAATCAGGTCGGTGGAGGGCTAGGGGCAGCCGCTCCTGACCTTCACCGAAAACCAAACCTGTGGCATCAAGGAGGACGTGCCACGAATTTCTGTGTGCCTCTGAGATCCAATGCATGGAAAATCTAGTCCCATTTACATCAGCTGGGTACGAGAAAAGGCCTTTGGGGCTGTGTTTACATTTTCTTCTGAAGTTTTGGCTAAGTTGAGATCCCTTAATCCTCAGATCCAACCAAGTTTCTGGTGCAGAAATAACCTTTGATTCTCTACGGGTGGCGAATTCCCTTATGTAGTCGGATTCTTCGGTAACGACTGTCAAATAGTAGTTCCCTCTAAAGAAGGGGTAGCTTTCTCCTATCAGCATCATAGCATCCTTGTAGTTGGGCATGAAAAGGACTAAATATTCTTCGTCACTTAGCCCGCAATGTTTCAAAGCCCTGTTTTGAGCTTGAATTTCTGGTATTGAAATGAAATTCCCTTGAAAGGAAGTTTTCCTAGTGAGGATATCCCGAAGTCTTGAAGGCTCCAATTGAGTGTTTTCAATATCAGAGAGGCTAGTGGCTATACTGGAGGGAGAGGAAAAACACTCTCTGCTGCCAACAGTCCTTGGGGATTTTCGCTTATCATCGGTCATGGTCTCGTTCTCAGAGGATTCCTCATTGATGGAAAGATCATCAAGATCAATCTTTTCTCCATCTTCCACAAGCCCACTGCAATATTGCGGATATTTTGCAAAGACATACTGCTTCACATATTGCATTTCGCTGGGTGTTATAGGGCCAGACCATCTCAAGTCAAGGCCTTGTAATGTTGAGATTGCTTCAGCTACCAAGTGAGCAGGAATTACACTGTGCGCTTTCTGTTGTTGAATTCCCAAGTCACAATCAAATTTTTAATTTCCAGGTTGGGAAGAACACCATCAAATTAATACGCAATGAAAGGAGAACCTGTTAATGATTTTGTTCGTTTTTAAAGGCTAGATTATAGGACTTGCCTTGATAACCATGCTGCGTGGTCTGCCATTTTGACTTGGTGAATTGGGCATTGAAAGTAGGATTGATTTATCCAATTCACCATCTGCAGCATCCTAACCATGATCAAATGCAAGCCTTACGTTAGTTTTTATGAACCGAAAGCGACACAAAAGCAACCTCCAAGTAAAAAGGAAAAGCAAAAACCTTGGATTCTTCAAGCAGAATAAGGTTTTGTTGTATGTTCCTTTCCATGGTGCCTCCTCACCTGAAAGAGTGACTATATGCATACACTGGACATACCTGCAAGCAACACCTAAAAAAAGAAGAAATTAGGCAGGAAAGAGGGCCAATTACTGATAGCCTGGGGAGGATTGAAATCAGTACTATTAAAAGGGCAATCAAAAGTTTAGCAACAAGAGAAAAGCGCCGCCAAGTGACAACAGCAGTGACCCGCAACATAGAACTATTTTAATCAAATGCTTCAATAACATCCGAAAACACGGAGCAGCTGAATGAGACTGGAAGGCACGCAAAGCCAACTATTAAAAAAAAAAATACTAATTCATATTCATCACCAGCTTCCATCGAATTGTTACCTGCAAAGGATCATAAATGAAAAATTCATCAAAATGAGGAGTTTTATTTAAATTAATTTAAAAGAGCCTGGGCGTACCTATAATCAATAATTGCATGCATAGGATTTGGCTCGCAAGTCACAGTCTCTGGGCTAGCCTATCTAATAATTGACCTGCTGACAACATTGATTTGGACTAAACGCCTAACTCTGCCGAAGCGAGTTGCAGCTGATATTTAAAAGGAATGGAAAAGGGAACAATATACATATTATTTTTTCTTTAAAAAAAAATGAATCACTTAATCTAGTTTATCTTAAAGATGCTTTGTTCCAAGTCTTCTGTCTTCAGTGGGAATTATGATAAATATATGAAAAAAGTAGAATGCTGTACAGCTTGAGCCATGAGCATTAAGATGGAATGAAAAATGGACCGTTTGGGACGACGTCAGTTTCACAACAAACCTTTAGTGGGAATTTCCTTGGACAGAAGTCCCTTCATTCGAGTCTTTAGAAAAGGCTATATTGCTACCCCCAAAAGAAAAGTAATATTCCATTAGAAATTGTCTTTGGTCATGGTTCACGTCTTATTTTATTCTCATGAAAATTATATATTAATCAAATTAAGATAATTAATTTGTTGGCGTCGTTTCAAGTGGCCAATGGCCTTGGTTGATACTCTTTCATTTTAGGGTTCTCAGTTTTTATTTGTCTATTGTTGATGTTTTCCCTTCCCCCGTATGGCTCTCCATTGCAAAACCCTTCCTGTTGACAATGAAGCTAAATCGAAGGACCAGCAAGAGTTGGATAGTTACAGGATGCCAGAGTTTGTACTTTGAGGTGCATATCCAAGGTCAAGTCAGTGTCTCATTGCAAATAGAGGAACGAGAATTAGGGAGTGAAAATAACTAAATAAGAGTCAAGAAAATGAGTGCCTTGTGAAGGCCATCTCACCTTTATGTGCACCAGACTGTGACCTAGGCTTCGCTATGAGTTTTTTATTTATTAGATAATTATTGAAGATAAACAAGTAGAGTATTGTAATAACATGTAAGCATCTATAAAAAAAATTATGGGTAAATTATCTCTACTTTAAGTTTTGATCATAATTCAGTTTGGATCTATTAGTATCGAAAATGAACACTTTATCCTAAAAATACATGTATTACTGAACATATAAGTCCTACTGTTAATCCAACGTTAATGTGTTTTCTTATTTAATAACATCATAGCATTTTGTAAACAATTTTATCCCTCCTTTATCAAAGAAAGAAGAAGGTTAGGGTTTGAAGCATCCACAAGAAGCTAAAGCTCCTCTAAAAGCAAGATTTCGTTGATTTTCTAAAAAAAAAAAGAAGAAAGATTTTGTTGATTTCTTCCTTGCTTTTGATTTTTGGCACTCCATCTCAATATTGACTTATCATTTTGGGTAGCGTTACTCACTTGGTTGATTGAAAATGATGCCAAAATTCTTTTATGTAGTTTTCTTTTAAAAAAAAAAATGATGCCGAAAAATGGAATTAACTTTCTATTATTTTCCATAGGAACTCTAGGACAAGTTCTTTTGTACTATAACCAAACCTAGAGTAGAAAGTACATCTGGCAGTGCTTCTCTTTCTATCATTTTGGTCTTAGCTAGTGCTTCCCCAAGTTCCCTTATTCAATTATTCTTGGATCTACTAGGCATATGGCAACATAATGGAGGTTCCATTTGATCAACTTGACCTTTGAACTCAGCCATGGTGATATCAAGCATAGGGTGAATGAACTCATTATATGCTAGCGCATGAAATTTTCTTTAGAGTAATAATTATCACAATATAGTTAAATATAACCCCTCTTGTGAATAATGCAAGTTATTGCATGCTTACAAGATAGGGTTATAATCTGACAAACCCCCCATGGATAATTGTTAACTCTTAGCCTTAAGTTTACTAGAAAAGTCCTTCCATATTCAAAGGTATTGAACTCACTTTCCCTAGTAGACACCACTTTGCAAAACCTCCCATTCTACTTAGCAGCATCTAGTTTCTTCTTAATTTGAGTAAGCATATAGTTCCATGTACATGCCTTCTCATATATATCATGAAACCTTTTCATGATCTTGACCCTAATATCTTTGGTGTCAATATAGGCTTGCTTTTGACACTTCCAATCCACTGATCGAAGCTCTCTGCCCTGCTGTTGGTGACATGATCACCCTTCACATTAGAGTCAAATGTGTGCCTTTCCACATTTTCCATCAACCAGTTGTATGTGTCACCGTTTTCACCCTTTATCCTCATCATTGCCGCATTCCATTCCCATTGATTGTAAGCTTTCCTAACCTTTCAGAAATTTACCTTTAAAGCCAATCTTATAAGCCTTTGTTTAAATTATTGTATAACTGCCTAGCACACCTTCTTTGACTTATATAAGGTATGATTTCTATGATGATGTCATCCAACCCTTACCATATAAGAAAATTCAAACAATTAATTAAGCAAATAATAAGTCAATAAAATAATTAATTGAAATAGTAAATGGATCATTTTACCTTTTGGCCATCATTCATAAGTACCAATGGTTTGTTGAAGTCCCCAATCACAATATTCAATAGTTGCAAAAATCATGACCATGCATGACCATTTTCTAACTCCACAATTACAATGACAAAAGGAAAAAGTTAACAATTACCATCAATAGCTATAATTGATAAAATACCTCCTACACATGACCTTTTTAGGTTGCATCCATCAACACCAATTTAGCTTTTTGATTGATCCTTGTTTTAATATGACAAAAGCTAATGATCAAAATATGAAAATTAAGTGCATTAGGACTTTGCAAAAACCCCTGTGATTTTGATTGAAAAATAAGCTAAATACTTAAAGCTTTATTGTATCTGAAGAGGCTTAAGCTAACATGAAGTATTGAGACCTCAAGCAAGGGTATTGAGACTATTAGCTTTGTATGCCTCAAGAAACAACCTAAGCATGAAGGTGTATCGAGACAACTTTGGACAAGATCAAGACTCCATGTGGTGAAAGACAAAATTCCAAAGAGCATGCCTTGAAGTATTGAGATCAAGCCTACATGTATCGAGACAACTTCTTAAAAGAGTAAAATTCTAGAGAGTAAGTCCAAGTGTATCGGGATACAACTTTTCAAGTATCAAGACTTTGTCCGAATGCATTAGACTCAAGGTTTTAAGTATTAAGACTTCACATCTAGAGATCAAATTCCAGAGAGGAAGTGTCCAAGTCGAGACACAAGAAAATTGTATCGAGACCATATTGTCAAAATTAAAAATTCTAAAGGTCAATTGCACAAGTATTAAGACTAGCTTATAATAGTATCAAAACTACCTATCCAAATATGATCGTTTAGAGAGCAAGTTTCCGTGTATTGAGACCGAGCCAAAGGAATATCGAGAAAGGCTTAGTTTGGGATTGTTTAAGAAAAACAAGAATCGAGATAAGCGTCTGACGTACTGAGACATCAGTAAAGAATGGAACGTAAAGTATCGAGGCTTAGATCATAGGTATTGAGACCCCATATCAGACAAGCTAGAAAATGCCAAACTTAAAGGCTAAAATTTTGAAATTCAAGTGTCAAAAGGCTAGAACAAGGTCTTTTAGCATAAAGAGAAGGATAGAACTCATATGTGAAGTGGGAGAGCACCATAAGAAGAAATCCTAAGAAAAAGTGAAGTTTCAAAAAGAAAGTTTCTTATTCTCGCTCTTCAAGTTAAGTATTTCTCATCTTTTGTTGATTGAGTTGAAATTTCTCCTACATCTTCAGTAAGCCTTTGATCATCTACAAATAGTTCATATCATGTTAGGCTTGCCTTGAAAATAGTTAGAAAACTAGTATCCATAGCACACCATAGTTGCCTGAAGATCAATATCAAATTCGAACTCATTTCTACTAACTTCAAATTTATGTCATCATTTACTAATCATATTTAATCATTTCTCCACAATCACATGATCATATTGCTTCATCATGTTACTCATTATTCAAATTATAATCATTGAGTGGTCCTCCCTGGATATAATCAAATCACATATGGTGGCCAACTAACGAAGCCAAATCAAACATAGTACTAAAACAACCGACAAAAAATTAGATCACGTATGGCACTAAAGTGACAGACAAAGGGTTAAAATTAAGCTCAAGGCTGAGGCCACTGACAAAAATTCAAATCATGAATGGTGTAAAAGCAATCGGAGAAAAATCAAATCACGCAAAAAGACGAAAGCATCTGACAAAAAATAGATCACAGGGATAGGACTCCACTTAACCTCAAATCAAATCAACGTTCTAAATTTCTCATCATCGGAAGGAACATATAACCACAATCAAGGCCATCATGCCTTTGATACCACATATATACCATTTCACATCAAAGATCATACTTAACGAGCTTAAATTCCTAGCTAGCTCAATATCATTTTGAAGTGCCCTTGGTCCTTCAAGGCATCAAATACTGATAATCCTCTAAGAGGCTATTTGTCTTGAGTAAACTACTCCTAAACATTCATCATATTCTCTTGCATTCGTCATATTCACTCAACCTTTTAGCATATGTGATATGCGAAGGCTACTCCATAGCCAAATTGAGCTTTTCTTGGCTCTAATGGCCCTCCACTCACCAATGTGCTAATAGCTTTATTTTCCCTTAATCAAATCATATAATAATTATTTCTTAGCTTTCGAACATTTCCAGAATTCCAAGCTAGGTTTAGTTCCACTACTCATAGTGGTGAAAACCTAGGTTTCAAATCTTAAGTTCAAAGGCTTAAATCCTTACCTTTGATGTTGGGTTTAACCAATTCCAAACTCCAAATTTCTAGCAACTCAAAGGGGAGAATTTTCACCAAAGTTGGAGTAAGTGGATTTCAAAGTTATAAATCAATTAAATAAAAAATAATTGGTAAAAGGTTAATCTTACCTCTAAAAGGGTTTTCGATGCCCCGATCTACTTCAAATGAGCTTCAAAGTCTACTTAAGGGTTAGGGTTTCAGAGGGGTAAAAAGAAAAATAGTTTTCTTTTATTTTAAAATGGGCGAACAACCCGAACTCTTTTTTTATTTTTGTGAATACCTAGGGATGTATCAATACATTTGTAAATGTACTAATACATTTTCACAAATTTTCTTCAAATCTATCAATACATGAGGCAATGTATTGATAAAAATCAAGCATAATGCTCACTACCTT